AGACCAAGGTTCTTGTATTGATCCCTTTTAAAAAAATGGTTTTCTTCATCGACCCTCTTACATTTTTTGCTATAATGCACAGCATACAACGCAATCATAATAACAGTAATTGCACATAAATATGTAAGATATTTTCTTCCTTCGTTCTGCTTCTCATGCATTTGTGGTGGGTCCTGAAGCAAGCCAGATCTGTATTCAGAAGGTCCGTAGTTCGAATCCCAGGAGGGAAAATAATAAACAAACGTTAAACCTAATAACTCTACAAATAACTTAAACATAATAATAAAAAAAGAATGCAAATAAAAGTTTTGCAGAAATGGCTTATTAGCTTTATTTTTATTTTATTTTATTTATTTATTTAGCTTTATTAGTATTTTTATTTTATTTATTTATTTTATTTTATTTTTTTTTCGTTATTTTTGATTTTGCGAATGTAAATAAGTTTTCAGAAGCAACTCCCATATTTTATTGTACAGAAGTTTGATTTTAAGTTTGAGACGGCTAGGTTTGATGTAGTGAGGCAATTTTTTTTTGACATTTGGCACAAAATAAGTTAATTATTAAAATATTTCTTTCAGAATCTGAAAACAAAACAATTTGAAGGATTGAACATGGTTCGGAAACGAAATCTAATGAAGTAGTTGCTACTTCATGGAATTATATGCTGGATGACAGAAGAGGAATTTTGTTGCAACGTGTAAAGTTAGAAATTATTGAAAATAAAAAAATGGCTGATCTGAAGATATGAAGCTTTGTTTTTAATTGTTTATTCTAATACCAAATTTTTAATTTTGGTGCATCGTATTGGGAAGTTTGTATGAACCACCTGGAGTAAAATTAATGTTGGAACTCTCGAAGGTGGGGTAAGTAATAATATTTAGTTCAAAGAATTTGTAGATAATAGTTTGTTTCAGTTTCGAAAAAGGAAAGTGAAATTGCATTGTGTAGTAGTAGCTCGTTTGCGGTTTCATTCAGCAGTATAGAATCTTCTTGTTGTAGCACTGTTATTATTAATGGCTAAACAGTTAGACATACTTATGAAAAAGCAACGTACCTACCATAACGGACAGGTCACGAAATTAATATCAAATAGAAAATCGTATGCCTGAAACACATATAGTAATAGATGAATTAGAAAGCCATTTTAGTTCAGTTACAAATCAAAGACGAACAGCTGAAATCTATTGGCAATAAAATCGAAGATGATGCAGAAATGCAATTGGTAATAGAGAGCATATTACAAATGACAAATGTAATGAATTTATTATATTTAACTCGGCAAAATTTTAAAAAATAAATAGAATCGTTGTAATCCTCATTTGTACAAGAACCCGCATGTGTGCAGCACATAACAAAACAAAGTAGGCAAAATACAAACGCGAAGTTACCTAAAGGATTATACATATTTTACGGGAACCAGTCTGTGTATTTAAATTTCTGCCATCAATTCAAAAATTCTATTGACAAAATTCCTTCCCTTTCGAATGTCGAAATTTTTTTTTCATTTGTTTAGTTGCCTTAAAGGCAAAGCTCTTTCTCGTATTAAAGATTTCGCTATTATCTCAAACAACTATAAGTCAGTTCGTAAACTTATCCAAGATACCTTTGGCCCAAAAGACGTGTTAATCAATGCTCATATGTGTAAACTTTTGAGCATGACACCGTTAAAGAACATTTCTAGTTTACAAGAGTTGAGAAATCTGTATTTTAAGTAGCAAACCCTAAATCCTTCTCTGAAACGTTTAGGTATAAAATCAGAAAATTATAATGTAAAGCTTTGTGCTGTATTTTGAACCTTTTTCCCAGCGAACTCAACCCTATGATTCAGCAAAAATCCAATTTCGAGCACTACTCATAACTTAAAGGAGTTGATTGACTTTTTACATAGTTCCAGTTACTGCAAGGGAGAGAATATTTCATATACACTCTCTTTCTTTGCACGCAACAAGTAGCCAGTATAAACAATCTAACTACAGAAATTTGGGAGCCCCCAATCGCAATAAATTTCTTTACTTCGCTTATGAATTGCTGACCAGTATTACATCAAACACTTGTATATTTTGCATTCAGCAGCACATGAGATATTTGTGTGAGGATTTGAACTCTCTTTCTGTCTCTCTCAAAAAAAAAAGAGAGAGAGAGCTTCTACTAGAAAAAAGAAATTTATTATGTTGTAATATAAATTGCTGTGTAAAGGCCTGCAAAGAGGTAAACTGCTCTATTTGCAACCGTAAATGCGCCCACGAAATATGCTTTAAATTAGAAAATTTTTTAAAAACAAAGGATTGAATATGGTTCTGAAACAGTTGTTACTTCATCGAATTATACGCTGGTGACAGAAGAGGAGTTTTTTTGCAGTGTGTAGCGGTAGAAGTTGTTGAAAAAAATGGCTATTATGAAGATTTGAAGCTGTGTTTTTTTATTGCTTATTCGGATATCATTTTTTAAATACAAAATATTAAACGAGTTCCTTGTTTTCCACTGTAAATTGTGATTTTACTAAACACTGCTTCTACTAAGAAGAAAGAAAAGGCAGTACCGTCGGTTCGGCAACAAATATAATTTTAGGATATTTCTCTCGGATTACTTTAAATTAAAAAACTTACTGTACCCACATGTTTGAACCATATTTGAGCTTAAACACCCTCCTTCAATGCAATCAACACTTTTTGCACACAAAATATATCGCAGTTCAGCTGATCTATAAGCCATGATAATACATTCAAATGTGCAGCATTTGGGAAACAAACACTGAAATAGTCTTAAATTTTACAAGATGTATAATAATATATCATCTACAGAATTTTAAAGTTCTTCGCAATTTTTGATTGTGTTTTCATGTGTTCCTTCGTTTGCTTGCTTATATTGCACTTAATGTGCAGAGACATTAGGTTGTTTTTCTAACCTGATGAAGTAATAAATGCGCATTGCCCTCGCCGAGACTCGAACCTCGGACCTCTTGAATACGCGTCGAGCGTGCTTACCATTACACCACTAAGGTATTTTAAGAAGGCTGGAGAAATACTTTATATACTCCTCCTTTTAAAGGGCGACTAGGATTAGGAGACCCAATCGCCAAATCCTGGTGGTGGATTATCATCATCCACCATCTTTTTTTTTTCGGGCGCCACCCTAGAGACATTAGTTTAGTTTGAAAGCAAGAGAGATGAAAAATGAGCAATGCCTTCGCCGGGACCCGAACCTCCGACCTCTCGATAGGCACCGAGTGTGTTGACCACTACACTGCGAAGGCATACTAAGAAGGCTGGAGAAATAAATAAATGCTTAAAAGAATGTGTATGCTGAGCCGACAACCTGGGATAGTTAGCGACGCTGACTGCCGTAGCGAAGGCACCGTGTTCGAATCCGGGAGAAGGCGTGGATGTCTGTAAATGTATAATGTCTGTGTTGCATTGGAGCACCCTAAATATGGGAAGAGCCGAAAGTCCTGTCCAGTGGGAGACCCTCGGACCCGTTCCACTGGAGTGTTCTCCATCAAAATGGGGGCGGAAATGAGTAAAGTCGGACTGTCACCTGGATGGTGATCAAGGCTTTTGCTAAAGGGCAAGCTCAATCTTGCTCTCCTTTCCACGATGAATTTCGTGGGCAAGTTCTTATGTTACTGTCAGGCAAGTGAGATTAGTCACAACATGAAAAATAATATTATTGATTTTTAAAATAGGCTAAATAATTTTAGATTATTTTTTCTCTCATGCAGAGAGGTTTAATACATTTTAGAACGATTTTGTTTAATCGTTTGCTTAAAACTGTAAACATAATTTTTTTTAATATTCGATCTGATAGCCCTTTTTGTGGACTGTAAGTATGCATTGTAATTTCTATAATAGATGGCTTTTTCTTAAAATTTCCGGGGGTAGTACTTTTCATTCTTCACCTTCTAGAGTGCATTTATCATGGTGGATTTGCGCTTAGAAAGAGCCCTTTTGAAGACTTCCTTCACCTTCTTCCTTTTCTTTTCGCCTTCTTTCAAATGTCTATCACCAGTTCAGGTAAAGAAGGACATAACTATGTAAGTTTAATTTTTCCTCGCATTTTGAAAAAAAAAAACTGATTAAAATTGGATCCTGTCCTAAATGAAACAGTATGCAGCGGAGAATTTCCAAAATTACGGAATCCTGGTATCAAGAAAAAAGGGGCGTTAATAGGCACAACATGCAGTTTTATTTGCGAAAGGATAGAAAATTACGATGCAATGTGAAAATCTGCGACAAGCGATTTCAGTTTCTATACCCTCGTATCTTTTGATTATATAAATAAAGTAATAACGATCAATTCTTTCAAACTTCTACAGGAATGACTGGCGATGAAGTGATGACATGTTTGGCATGATATCCGCCAACTTACACGATCGATAGGATTTCGAATTTGGTTTTATTCTCATACGCTTCAGTTCTACGAAAAATACTTCAGGTTCATGTTTTAGAAACTGAATCGAAATCTTACATAAATGTCGCATGTAAGCTTTTGATATTCAAACTGATAACAAATAAGGAGACATTTGTTCATAATATTAGAGCAGATAGCATATAATGCAGATTTCAAAGAGTCGCTAGTCTAAAAGAGAAATTTTAATATAATTCAAAAATACATATAGAAGATTTGTAAACGTCAGAATTTTATCTCTTCTACATTTTTAAGCAAGACTAATAAACAAGGTAAAGTGAGAATGTCAAATTTTAACATCCCTCTCCTTGAGCGTGACGTTATTTAAGTAACAAAATATTATTACGATCTTACGATCTTTAACAATTAAGAGATTATGATTGTTTAAGTCATAAAACTTCATAAAAATATTAATCACTTAATATATCGATAAAAATTTAGAAAAATGTCATATTGAATTTTGGCATATTGCAGAATCAGGTGCAGAATAATATTTTAATTTACTGAAACATTTATTAATTAAGAATTTAACAGGGAATAAACAACAATTTAAATTGTATTAATTTCTGGCTCAAAAATAACGTTTATTTGCTTACTGCTAGTATCGTATTTCACTCCGTTCAATTCTGCAAAACACGGAACGCTAACCAAGCTTCCAGCTGGGGTAGTTGGCCAGCAAGAGACTCCGTCCCACGAAGCATTGCAAAACATATTTAGTCCTGTAACAGATTAAAAATAAATTAAAAACGATTATTTTACTGTCTAATTACTTACCTTATTTCCCCTTGTTATATGAAGCATTCTAACACTGAGGGATCGGAAAATTGAAAAAAAAAAAAAAAAAATAACGGAAAATATTGCATAAAATTATTGAAATCAGGATTTATTCAGTACACACTTCGTCATCACTGTTCAGAACTCCAGTAATCAGAATATCAGATCTCCCTTAAAGTGACCAATAACCCAATGTGCAGTTCCCCAAATGCACTGCATCAGTTCATCTTAAATGTAGACAGACCTTGACCTAAAAATAGTCTTTTGTAGTTCCTTATCTTTAGGTTAAATTTGACTTAATGTACACTCGGAGGAAAGCTTCTTTGTTAGGAACTAGAAAAGATATTATTTGAAACCTTCGCACCTCTTTGTTCGTTTAGAAATGGAGAGGAGAAGAAATTGTTGTGAATCTCAAATGTAATTTCAGACATTTCGTTTTTTTTTTTAAAGAAACTCGATTAAGTAAAGTCCTTGGGGTAATGCGCACGCCGCCGTGGGCAGTTTTTCACCCTTGGTCTCGTTCATCGTCACCATTTTCATTGGCATCGGCGCCACCGTTGTATAAGATATACCCTGTTTTTAGACAGCAATTATTTAAAGAAAAATTGCGTCTTATACACAGGAAAATACCTTAAACACTAACGTCATCAGAGAAAGATAATTTTTCATACATTTAGTGCAAAAGTTACACAACACTACATGACAGCACATATATAAACACATTTTAAAATTCATCACAATACGAACTTTAATAATAAAAAAATCAGTTTAAAGATAATGTATAGAAAATTCAAAAGATTTTGAAGATTTAAAATAAAAACTTTATTGTAAATGTTATGCATGAGAAAATGGAGAAAACTTAATATAAAAACGTTCTTACAATTCTTGTAAAATATTAAAAAAATTTTAAGCTAAAAGAAATTATTGTGATAAAATTTAAAATATAAAAATTTTCTATTAGTCAATGAATTTTAAACGTGTTTCAAGATGTATACATTTTTCAGTGGACTTTTGTCTTGAATTTCAATGCACATCATTTGGGCACACTGCTTACAAGTTTGTCGAGGTAGTTCATTGAAATTATATGATGCCAGCATGAAATTATAGTTAATTATACTTTATTCTTTTTATTCTTTATTGTGTTTCTGTTTCAATGTCATCCAGATATTTTCAAAAGAGCTGGGATCAGGCTTTTAGGCCATTGCAATTTCTATACTAATTTAGGAAAATTTTACTTTTCTTCTGTTAGTACCCAGTGACATAGAATTATCCTCTTGAGAGATGTGAGTATGGTTTTGAAACCTGTTAAAAGCTGAAAGAGACTGCTTTTGTTTTAAATATGTTAATGTATTGGGCCGCATTCATTTTTCCTTGTACAATGTTGAACTCGACTTACTTCATATACTATGGAGATACAGCTCCACTTCGCATCGTAATTTTAACAAAATGCTTTGCTACTGCTATAATACAGAATGTTTTAAATTTTAATACAGTGAAATACGTTTAAGGCGAAAACGCTTAAGACAAAATATTGGTTAACACGAAATAATGCAACGGTCCCAACAAACTACTATGCATTTTCATGCGTTTTGTTTCTCTTAACACGAAATAAAAATCGCTTAACACGAAAAAAATATCCTTTCTTGGAATGAACAAAATACGGAAAACACCGGCCTCGCAGGCGAGATTTTAGCGGGGTGTGAAATGAAAGAGATATGGTTTCACGTGTTTCGTAGAAAGGAGACTAACTGAGCTTTGAAATACCCTCGGAATAGCCTGTGACGCGAGCCAGTTTTTTTTTTTTTATCTAAGCTACTTTCGGCCCACCAGCGGCCGAGCGGTAAAGTAGCTGAACACTGATAGTTCGGTCCGAGGTTCGAATCCCGTGAACGGGCTGGCTGCATGGGCGTTTTCGTGGTTTTTCCCAATGTGTAACCTATATACAAGACAGTTCCTCTTAGAAAGACCTCCACGAAGGCATCCCTTCCCTTAATCAGTGAGTTTGGTTCATGTATTGCACTCTGCATATTTCTGTTTCTTCATATGTTGCACTCTGCATAAAATTCAGTGACTCAAAGGACGAATAAAAATTGCTTTCGTCGTGCACGATTTTCAAAAGTATCAGATTCTTTGCCGCCAAAAGAAATAGAGAGGGAGGATATTGAAATTGAGTCAACACTTAATGAAATGTTTCAGAAAGTTTCTGTATTAATGGATTGTCCTACTGTATTATCGGAAGAATTTGCTGCTGTAGCTGATGATAATGTGTGCACAGCCCCAATTATGGCACAGATATTTTGGGCTTTGTTCAAAGCTCAAAAAAAAAAAAAAAAAAAAAATATATCCTGTTCCCAAGTCATCCGAAATGAGAAACATCATAAAAAGTATGGGCAGTTATTTAGACGCACATTCCAATAGTGAAATGAATAACAAAATGGACGACATTGAACAATTTGTTAAAAATTTGATGCTAAAAAAGGCAATGCAAAGAACTTTGTGCTTTCATTTTCTATGTCATTAATACAAACTGCTAGTTAAATTAAAATTATTAATGCAACCGCTAACTGCTGAATAAAACAGCTAACTGCTGAATAATTACAGCAAGTTTTCATAGTAGCTTAACGACGAGATTGTCCTTCATTATGCAGCGCAGTTATCTTTGTACCGTAATTACTTTGCTTGCAAACGACGTTCTTGAAACTAATATAAAGAAATTCAAAACATGAAGTTTTCAACATCATAAATTTTAAAGCCAGCAACTACCATTCACTTATAGGCAGAAAACGGATGTCAGAAGCGGATTCAATAAAAGCAATTTAAATTTTTCATTGCTTAGTTGTGGTTTTTATGAGCCATTCTGTCTTTCATAGCTTTTCAAATAATGTTGCTTTTAAAAGGTAAAAAGGTATTTAAACTCCATGTATAATAACATTTTTGTAATTGCAATTAATTTTTAACGCATCTTTAAAATATTTCGTGTATTTTTCTCCTTTTTACTTATTTGCACGAAGTAAAGGAAGTATTGTGATGTCGAGAAATTTCGGTTATCAGATATCCATGTTACAGTAATAAATTGCTAAATACGGTAATAAATTATTCAACAGAAAAATCCTTTAATTTATACTTTAGAGTATTTTGAAATAATTGACACATTTATTATACCATGGGTGTCATACACAAAACGTGTTTCACATAACATGTGGTTTCTTATATGTGCCGTTATCTGCATTAAAAATAAAATCTAATACTTTTAAAATCATTAGATTTTTTGGTGGAGAAACAAGAAATAAATAAAGTTATATGAGAAAATTAGAAATTCTTTCGACACTTTTAGAGTCACTAGGTTTTTATGGAGGGAGAGAACGAGAAATATGGACCTTCCTATTCTAGCTGGACGTGCTTTTCAATTACACCCTAAAGGCACGTGGTAAGGAAGAAAAAAAATTACGTTCTCCTCTATTTGAAGGGCGCCTGGAGAGGAAAAGAATCATCAAATCTTAGTGATGACGAATTATCGTCCACCACAATTTAGTTCGGGAGTTAATTTGCAGTCACTAAGTTTGTTTTTTGTTTTGTTTTTTTCCGGAGGGGGGCTGTTGAGATGGTACGAGAAATCCATTATGCCATCGCAGGAATAGAACACTGGATCTTTCTATGCTAAGCGAATGTGCTTTACAATTTCACTACGAAGGCACGCGGCAAGGTAAGAGAAAATTCCTTACAAGTTATCTTGAAGTTTTGTGGTAAGTTACAGATTGCAGTCATCTTTATATATGTTTCGTTTCGTAATCTTATTCAGACTATGGTACACTTGTTTAATGTTTTGATATTCTTTTCAGTTATATAATATTAAGTTCGAAAGAGAAACGAATTTTTAAAGTTTTTGCTTACTTTAATTTTCTCCAATTTTAATAGTAACTTAACCAACTACCATTCTGTAATCTAAAATTTCCATAAATGGTTAAAAATAAAATAAAATTTAAGTAATCAGCAAGCGAATTTATTTCTTCTAAATTTCTCAGCTTGCCCTGAAAATGTAATATGAAGATAAGTCAAATATTCAATAGCCCAACGTTGGTTGACTGGATAAGACTTATGGGCACTATAAATCTCTACTTGCATTCGTTATATCGATAAATATACAGTGCGCTAGGACCAAAAGGCATCCAGACCTGGCTAGCTTGAGACTGACTTTAACACAGTCAATCACCACAGCACCTAGAGGCGATCCAAGGGGCCGCTAAGCTATTGGATCAGCCGACGAGCCAAGACTAAGCCGAGTCAACAGGCATACTTAGCCAAGTCGCATTCCATGTCCCTGTCCAGAAGGGAATGTAAAAACATATGCCATCATCACCAGAGGCACCCAAACTCGGACAGCAGAATTAAGTCAAAAAATGTCAGGGAGTCTGGGCCACCAATCCGGGCTGCTAACACTACGGCATGGTACACACACGTCGGTTCCAGGCGCTCCCAGGAGAGGAACCAAGGAAGGATATGAATATGCAGTTTTGAGGCTCCAGGCGTCCGCTGGAAACCTCTGGCAGTCTAAAGGCTCACCGAACTCGCCAATTCCACCGACGGGTGTGTGTACCCCCCCGGAAAACCATGAATATCCGCAACCAATGGAACGGACAAGACAGTACCATATGGTCCCTGCCGAACCCAAACCAGCCATCGTCAGCGATGACTCTAGTCCTACAAAATCTGATTTTTTACCCTCGTGGCCGAGACTGCCTAAGTATAGAGCCTAACCAGTAGCTTCCGAGGTCGACCCCAGAGGGCAGATCAGTAAATATACAGTGTCATAGGATTTTCAGGGTTTTTCACTTGTATAATGTACACATTATAGCTATTTTCTTTAGAAAACTTTCTACGAAAGCAAGCCTCTCCTTATGTCGGCAACTATTCTGTGCTTCGATTTAATCAATCAATCTAACCTCAA